TGGTACAGCAGTTTTGGGAGTATGGCCATCTTCACAATGTTTGTTCTTCCTATCTAGGAACAGGGAATGTCTTTCTATTTTTTGAAATCCTCTACAATCGCTTTTTTCAGAGTACTGTAATTTTCCTTGAAAAGATCTTTGACCTCTTTAATCAGATGAATTCCAAGGTATTTCATTTAACGCAGTGCTATTGTAAAAGATATTGTTTCTTTAATTTCCCTCTCAGTGTGTTTGTTATCTGTGTAGAGGAATGCTATTGACTTTTGAGTATAGACTTCCTATCCTGCTATGCTACTGAATTTGTGTATCAATTCTAGTAGCTTCTTGGTTGAATTTTTTTGTTCTTCCAAGTAAAGTATCATGTCATCTGCAAATAATGATAATTTAACTTTTTCTTTACCTATTCTTATTCCTTTTATTTCCCTTGTCTAATGGCTGTAGCTAATGATTCTAGAACTATATTGAATAGGAATGGTGATAGAGGACATCCTTGTCTTGTACAAGATCTGAGAGTAAAAGATTCCATTTTTTCCTCTTTTAGAGTTATATTAGCCATTGGGTTGTCATAGATGACTTTTTACTTCAGATTGAAGTAAAGGCCATCTAATCCAATTTTATGTAGGACTTTGAACATGAATGAGTGCTGGACTTTGTCCAAAGGCTTTGCTGCATCAGTTGAGATGATCATGTGGTTTCTAGATTTGGCTCTATTGATATGCTGTATTACATTTATAGATTTGCATTACATTTTAGATTTTTGAATATTGAGCCATCCTCACATCCCTGGGAAGAATCCTCCCTAGTCATGGTGCATCATCTTCTTAATGATTTGCTGTATTGTATTTCGGAGGACTTTATTGAGGATTTTTGCATGTATGTTCATGAGGAGATTGGCCTGTAGTTCTCTTTTTTAGTTGTGTCTTTCCCTGGTTTTGGTATCAGTATGATACTTGCCTCCAGGAATGATTTTGGGAGGATTACTTCCTTTTCAATTTCACTGAACAGTATGAGGGGTGTAGGGATTATATCTTCTGTAAATTTCTTGTAGAATTCAGCTGCGAATCCATCAGAACCTGGACTTTTCTTTGTTGGCAGGCTTTTTATTACATTTTGTATTTCATTGGCTGTTACTGGGTTATTGAAAGTTGTTATATCTTGTTTATTCAGTTTTGGTAGGTTGTACCTTTCTAGGAATCTGTCCATTTCATCTATGTCTTCTATTCTGCTAGCGTAAAGATTCTCAAAGTAGCTATTGATGGTCTTCTGAATTTCCACTGGGTCTGTGGTGATTACACCCTTTTCATTCCTTATTGCTTGTATTTGAATTTTTTCTTTCCTCTTTTTGATGAAGTTAGCTAGAGGATTATCAATTTTATTTAATCTCTCAAAGAAGCAGCTTTTTGATTCGTTAATTCTTTGAATTATTTTCTTAGTCTAAATTGAATTAATTTCTGCTCTAATTTTTATGATTTCTTCCCGTCTTTGGATGCTGGGTTTGGTTTGCTCTTCTTTTTCTAGATGCTGGAGGTGCAACATTAGGGTGTTTATTTGTTCACATTCAGTTTTCCTAATGTGTGAGTTCATGTCTATAAATTTCCCTCTGAGGACTGCTTTCATCGCATCCCATAAATTCTGATAAATTGTGTTTGAATTTTCATTTAATTGTAGATATTGTTGAATTTCTTGTTTAATTTAATCTGTGACTTAATGGTTGCTGAGTAGAGTGTTGTTTAATTTCCATGTATTTATGTTTTTTTCTGTTTTTTTGCCTTGTTTATTTCCAGTTTTTCATTGCACTGTGGTCAGATAATATGCATGGGCTAATTTCTGTTTTCTTGTTTATACTTAAGCATGACCTATGGACCAGTATGTGGTCTATTTTAGAAAATGACCCATGTGCAGCTGTAAAAAAATGTATATTGAGCTATGGTTGGTTGGAACACTCTGTATGTGTACACTAAGTCCATTTGTTTCAACCTCTGGTTCAGTTCCGCTACTTCTTTGCTAATTTTTGTCTGGTTGACCTATCTTTTTGGGATAAGGGGGTGTTGAGGTCTCCTGTTAAGATTGTGGTACTGGATATTAGATTTTCATGTCCATTAAGATTCGTCTTATGTAATTGGGTGCTCCCATGTTTGGTGCATATACATTTATGGGTGTTACATCTTCCTCTTGAATTTTTCCCCTAACCAGTATATAGTGGCCTTCTTTATTTCATTTGATCATTCTTGGTTTGAGGTTGAGACTGTCTGAGAACAGGATTGCTACCCATGCTTTTTGCTGAGGTGCTGGGGCATGTAGTATTATTTTCCATCCTTTGATTTTCAGCCTATGAGTTTCTTTATGGGTTAAGTGTGTTTCTTGTATACATCATATTGTTGGATTTTGTTTCCTGATCCACTGTGCCAGTCTATTTCTTTTAATTTGTGAATTGAGTCCATTTACATTGATGGTTAGAATTGAGATGTATTGACTTACAATTGACATGCTATTTCCCTGCTGTTGTTTACTCCTTTTTGTCCTGTGCTTAGTTGTTTGCCCTATTTAGTGTGTCCCTTCTGTTGTCGTTCATGGAGTTCTGATCATTTTGGTCCCTCTCTAGAACATCTTTTGGGAGCTGTGTAGGGTTGGCTTTGTCATCATGAAATTCTTTAGTTGTTCTTGTCATGGAAATATTTTACTTCTCCATCAAACTTGAAAGAGAGTTTTGCAGGGTATAGTAGTCTGGGCTGGAATTCATTTTCATAGAGGACTTGGAGTTCTCTGCTCCATGCTCTTCTTACTTTCATGTTTTGTGAAGAGAATTCAGCTCTTATTCTGATGAGTTTTCCTTTAAATGTGATGTTTCTTTTCTGTAGCGACTTTTAGTATATTGTTCTTGTGCTGGATTTCTGGGATCTTGACTATTATATGTCTTGGTCTGCTTTTAATTGGGTTGAAGTTATTTGGCATTCTGTATGCTTCATTTACCTGAATGTCAGATTATTTCCTCATATTTGGGAAGTTTTCTGTTGTTACTTCTTCCCATATTCTTTGTATATCATTTGTATTGACTCCCTCTTTCTCATTGATGCCTATTAGTCTCACATTATTCATCTTTGCATTGTCTTGCAGGTGGTGAATTACTTTTTCCTGCATCTTGGTTGTTTTTAAGAGATCTTTTCTTACCTTTTCATTAGCTGTGACAGTGTCTTCAAGATCTGAAACTCTATCTTCACTTTCACTCAAACAATTTTGCAAGCTTGTGATTCAAATTTTAAGTTCCTCTATATCTTCTTGCGATCTATTTCTTTCCTTTATTGCTCATTCCAGGAATCCATTGCTTTTCTAATCTCCTCTATTTTTTTATTAGTATCTTTTTGAGAAGAAGTTTTTAATTCTTCAGAGTTTATTTCTGATCTGATTTCCTCTATATGTTTCTGCTTTTGATTCTTTATTTCAGACACTCTTAATTCATAGATTTCTTTTATTATTTCAGACATTAATTCTGGTCTGAGTTCCTCTGTACCCTACCTTTCTGCTGTTGTTTCTTTACTTCAGATGCTATTAATTCAGACATTTCAGTTGAACTAGTGTCCTCTGCACTTGTTTTGGGTGAGCTTGGGACCTGAGATTGCATTTTGCTCCTTCTCTTTGTCATTTTGTATAGCACTGTCCACTGACCTTTGGTGTAGAGCTTTGGTGCAGTTGTAACCTTAGCACCTACTATAGTATTTCTTTTTCTTTTTCTTTTTCTTTCTTTTTTTTTTCTTTTCTTTTTTTTTTTGCAGAACCTGGGATTGAACTCAGACCTTTGTGCTTGCCAGTGAAGTGTTTATTCCACTGAGCCATCTCCCCAGCCCTAAGCACCTACTATAATTCTGGCACTGATGTATCAAGTTCTAGTTCATCCAGTTGTACCTGGCTTCGGTCTGGCTTCTGTGCTTAGCTCCTTTGTGCTGCTGCCCTTGGAGGTGAGCCTGCTGTGCTCCTCTGAGAAGATGTTCTGCTTCTTGATTAGCGGGCTTGGACTTTGGACGAAGAGGGTCTGGAGGGTCTGGAGGGCTTCCAAGAGCGTGGTGGAAGCTCTCACTCATAGGGCGGCATTGGGCTGGCTGTGGAGGGGAAGTGGAGGTCTGGAGACCACGGGGAAAGGTCTCTCATGAGTTGCGGTCCTGGGCTTGGTCCAGTAGGCGCAGGACAGCACAGAAGCTCTCCCACACACTCGCAAGACCTGGGGTTGGGTGAATCTGGGGCGATCCCAGAGCGCAGCAGAAGTTCTCACTCACAGGACGGTTTTGGGCTGGTTCTGGTGGGCTGGGGAGGTCCAGAGATTGGGGGGAAAAGTCTCTCTGGCAGGGCAGGCCTGGGCTTGGTCCGGCAGGTGCAGGACAGCACAGAAGTTCTCCTACATACTCACGGGGCCTCCTGTCTGCCTCTCTCCAGTCCAGCTTTCTGTGTCTGTGGTCCTTTTGGAATCATTCTTTTTGCTAGATCACCAGAGGCAAGGGACAAGTATTGATGGCTCTTCTGGTGAAAAGACTCCCTCCCTCGAGTCCAGTGTGAAGCCACATCTCCTGTTATGTGAAACAGACCTCAAAACTTGAGTGACACAAACCAGCTCTCTGGAGAGGTGGCATCTGTGGACCTCGTTGCATAGCCATTTTTCTGCCATTTGCCTTGGTGCTGGGCCCAGACCACTTATCCCTCTCTCACACTAGGAGCAGCCCTACTGTTAGTGAACACCAAGAGGAGTGAATGTGAAATGAGGGTTCTCAGCTTCTCATGTTCTATAAGGACATTAACAATCTCCTTGGGAAATAAAATTCTTTAAATGTGCCTATAAACAGGTTACTGTCAAACAGCTGATTTTAAGCTCCCATGGAAGTGTAGAATTGGCTGGGCGTGGTATCACATAGCTGTCATCCCAGCATTATGGGAGGCTCAGGCAGAAGGATTTTGAATATCAGCCCAGCCTGGGTAACTAACTCAGTGAGCCTCTGTCTCAAAATAAAACAAAAGTGCTCCCTTCAGCAGCACATATACTAAAGTTGGAATGATACAGAGAAGATTAACATGGCTCCTATGCAAGGATGACATGCAACTTCATGAAGCATTCCATATATTTAAATTTTAGAATATCTGTGGTTGTTGGAAAATAGCAGTTCCATGTTATGTCTAAGGCATTTGATATTCAGACAGATAGTGATGTTAAAGCTCAATTGCTCATGTTGCAGGATAATAATATCATTAAGCTTCTTTTCTGGATGTTTAACAACTAAAGTTTGTAGACCAAAAATTGGAGAAAAGGAGGAGCTACAAGGATAGCCAATATTTTGGCCCTGGCTCTTCAAGGTTAGTGAGGACTCAGGACATAAGAGAACCTGTGCTGTGACATTTTGTGACTCAGTAGTGTCTCAAATTTTCTGATGAAGGAGATTATGGGGCCAGAGAGAAAAGTGATCAATGATGTAGAGTGTGCCTAAGGAGAGTCACCCAGAGAGAAAAAATTCTCTCAGGCTTTCACAGAGAGCAAATTGGTCAAGCAATGGCCATGACTCATCCAGATGGCTGACACTGACAAAAGATCTACAGGGTGCTGTACATGGTTTCAGGGTAAATCCTGAGGGGATTTGACTGACCTTGTCAGATACAAAAGTTACATTTCTTTGTTATATAGGTCTTGCTTTACCTTGGTCTTAACTATCCAGCAGAAAAGTATAACCACAAGGTATAAAAAGTAAAGCCATATTAATATGCTGAGCTATAAAAGGCTCAAGTCAACAACTTCAGACAATTGCCAGTTCTGCTGATAACCCACTATTATGGACTATTAGACTATATTGAGTTATTTTGATGAATTCAAGAACCTACAATATTTGAAATGGCATCAAGTATGAAAAGGTCCTTTAAAGACTTCTCCAAATACAGCTTCTTTAACAATAATAGAACACACATCTCTGACAAAACAAAACAAAAATGAGGATATAAATCAAGGACCATTTTGTAGTGAAAAAAACATGTGTATAAAAATAAGATAGAAACACAGCTACCTTCTTTTAGTTCAATGAGAAGAAATGTTTGTACTAATATTGCTTAGACAAGACACCATGTCTACATCTTGTCCTCTGAATAACTACTATGAAGACAACAATATGCAATGTATTCATTATTGTACCAGTCCTACTAACCTGTTTTGAAATTGTTTCATTGCTATTTTTTCTCATTGAAATGAATAAAAAATTAAAACAATACAGAATTTGCAAAAAAAAAAAAAAAAAAAAAAAAAAAAAAAAAAATTTAAAAAAAAAAAAAAAAAAAAAAAAAACAAACCCAAAACAAAAACCCAACACATTTTGTATTGGGAAAAAAAATAAAACATCAAGAAGGGGCTAAGTACAAAGTCCCTGGGTTCAATGCCCTCTGCTGCTCTCATGATTAAATTATGGTTCAGAAACCCTCAAAGCCATAGATGTACAGTATTAGAGAGTTTAGGGCTCATCTGAACTTAGCCTTTCTGTAGATCATTTCAGTTAATGCTGTAACATTTTCAACAAATAGTTGGCCAACTTCTGGCCACTACTAGTGATTGAGAGTCCACTGGATGGTGTCGTCAAACAGCCTTAATCTATAGGAAGATTTTCCTTTCACCTAAAGGGAAGCTTAAGTAAATTATAGTACCTTCTCATGATGGATTCTTCTTTATGGTCCTGGGGGTGAAACTCAAGGGCTTCTGCATGCTAGGAAAATGCTTTACCTTGAGCTACATTCACCAGCCTCATGATAGATACTTAATGCAGCATTAAAGTATTAATTAAGAATTTTGAATGGGAGCCTGGTGTGGTGGTGCATGCCTGTAACCCCAGCCTTTGGGAGGCTGAGTCAAGGGGATCGCTGTGAGTCCAAGGCCAGCCGGGGCTCAAAGTGAAATCAAGGCCAGCCTGAACTGCGTAATGAAACTCCCCTACACAACAAAGAGAATTTTGAGTGGGATGAGAAGATGCTTAAAATATAACCAGATAAAAACAAAGACAGAATGTTGCATATATAATATAATCTCATCAATATTTTAACAATCCATAACAAATCATTCTAAAATATTAGTATTTGTTGCCAATAGGCCATAGTATCATGGGGGAATTTTTTTGCTTCTTCCTACATTTTTGTCTTCAGTATTTTATAATGAGCATGTATCACTGTTATTGTTAGAGGAACTGGGGAGAAATTTTCCCTTAAATAGGTATAGAATTCCTTCTTTGATTTATGCCTGTTGCTCCTGAATCTAAACTTGGAGGGCAACTTGGATGTAATCTCACTGTTTCTTCATATAGCAATCTCTCAAAAACGTGAAGTAACTCAAATCTCTTCTTGCCTTCAAGCAAATATGCAAGTATAAGATTTTTTTCTTTTTTAAAATTTAGACTGTAAAAAGGTTGAAACAGTTAAGATGTTTAACCCTATAGAGCATGAAAATATCTACTACTGTTTTCCTGTCCTTTTCCAAAATTGACCATCAAAAGAAAAGAGTTTATCATCCCAGGTACGTTGATTTTATTGAGTCAGTATTTGATGAAAGTTGGTTTTAACAAAATCAGTTTTGGAATCTGAAAATGTACTTGGGACCTCTAATATACTTTTGATCTTAGTTTAAGGGGACAGGACAGTTGGGGATGGTGAAAATATTGACCTTTTCAGGACATGGAGCCTTATGGGAATTTAGCAGAGGGCCTTTGATTTTATGGGGGCAGGAGAGAAGGTAGCAGTCAGATTCTCCTGCCTGCTTATAGGATGCTGCCATATTGGAGAGATTTTGATCCCTCAAATGATAAAAATCACTGTATCACTGTGTCATCTAGAGTCAGTGACATTGGAGTGTAGGGTATGAATAACCAATATTCAGTAGAAGGTTGAAAAAAATTTTTTTATCAAAATCAACTCGCCATACAATCTTTAATCAACTATATTCAGTGAGGCAGTTTTTGTGGCAAATTAGATTTTGAAAGCATTTATTGTCTGAATTCGTTTTTCTAACTAAGCTTTGAAACTCTTAAATTAATGACAGTTTTGGAGGTAAGTAAATTTTATCTATAAATATTTATTGATTAGTCCATTAAAGGAATTACATAAAAAAAATTAGCCCAAAACATTTTATTAGACAATGAATGCAGATTTATTTCAAACAGAGGTAAATGTGGCTATCAGTGACCTATTTTTTAAATTTAATTTTTATAAAGAGTCTGAAAGTGGGAGTGAGAAGTAGTTATGCTCCGTGGGCTATGAGCTGGATTTTGGCACTTCGTTACGTCTAAAACAGGGCTCATCCCTGTACTGTGTCTTCATTTCCAGATGGTTTCCCAGCTTGAATCCCAAGTAGCTGAGCTTGCTCAACAGTTGGGAAATGAGTCTGAGTCTCACCAGAAAACTCTACAGAGGGCCCAGAAGGCAGAAAACAAGTTGGAGGCCCTGCAGGGCCAGCTGACAGACCTGGAGGGAGAGCTGGTTTCTGGAGAAGTTTTACGAGACAACTTGAATTTTGAGAAGCAAAAAGTAAGATGGAGAGCAATGGCGCCAGCTAACCAGGCACCGAAAGCCCTGTTACCGTGAGCCCAAATAAACCTTTCCTCCTTGTATTGTCTTCTTAGGTATAAAGGAGGAAAGATTTATTTTTTCAGTCTTGTGTAGAGGGAGTAGCAACATGGTGGAAGGGTGTCATGGAGGAAAGCTTCTTACCTCATGGAACCAGTAAGTGGAAAAAAAGGAGAGAGAAGAAGCTGGTGATAAGATTCAGTCCCCAAGGCCACACTGTGGTCTACTTCCTTCATCCAAGCCCCATCCCCTATTTCCATTGCCCTTCCCCAAATGTCACCAAATTATGATCTCATCCAGGGACTAAGGGGTGCCCCGCTGATCCCATCATCTCCCAAGGCACAACAGCAACCAGGCCTTCAGTACATTCCACCTTTTGGCGGGTATGTTGGATCCCTACCATATTTATTGAGTATCCTCTGTATGTAGTCGCTGGAGGTCTGGGAAGTTAACACATGGATAATATATAGTTCTTGGCCTTGAAAGCTTTCTAATTTAACAGTAGAAACAGCCATTCAGGTTTGCTCTACCACAGACTCTGTGCTTTAAGAGTATTGTTTGTTGCATTAATAAAGTATTGTAGGCACTGCTGGATAAAGACATATTATAGGAGAGGAGATAATTATGTTCATCCTTGAAGGACATGTGGGATTATAGTGGTGAAAAAGGGTGAATGCTATAGGGAAATAGCTTCAACAAGGGTGTGGAATTTTTAAATGCTTTGTTCAGAGAATGCCGAGCTGTAAATCCCATAAGGTCACACGTGGCATTCTTAGTAGGGTGATGGTGTAGAGAAAACTAGAATGGCTTGCATCATGGGGACCAAGAGTTCCTTATTTTGTGGAAGACACAGTGTGATTATGGGCCACTTACAGTCCAACACCGCCTAGTGGTGTTTCAGTCAGTGATGAACTGCACATGTGACACCGGTCTTCTAAGGTTATATTACCTCCTGATATGGTAGCTAGCTTAGTTTATGAAAAGTACATTCGGTGATGGTCACTCCAGTGATGAAGTCGCCTACTGATACAGTTCTCAGAGCATCCATGCTGCTAAGTAGTGCATGACTGTGTTTCAGAAGATGAGGTGTCGTCATGAGGCTGAGGCTGCCGCATAGAGAACTTTAGAAATGATGGTGTTTCCAGCCCGGGGGAGAGGAGAGGATAGGAGAGGATAAGAGTGTGTGTGGCTCCCCTGTGATCTTTGAGACACAGGTCAGTGGAATGGAGGAGGGAACCTGCTTGCTCTGGCTGAAGGTGGACTAGAAGCTGGAGGGGCACAGGTGCACAAGGAGATTGCTGTGAAATTTGGGCTACAAAAAAGGCACAAAGTAGCAGCTGTAACAAACAGGCTTAAAGGTGCTTGCAGTGAGCAGGATGGGTAGGTAAAGGCTTGTGGGTTGCAAGTCTGTGGGACAGAAGGTAGGAAGAGAAGCAAATGACATTGAGAACACAGATGCAGAATTTGGTGTAGAAAATATACTTAGATTAAAAAATCTGTAGTCTTAAAGACTCCCTTTAATTCTTCTGTAGTTAAAAAGACTTTGGAAGCAGCATGCTGCACTGAGCATAGGCCATGCAGTACTGCTGGAAAGGGTCTCTGGAAGTCAGCCCAGGGGCTGACACAGGCAGATCAGCCCCGCCCTAGTCCTGCTAGTGCTACACAGACACAGGTGTACAGTGAGGCATGGACTCAGAAAAAGGACTGATGACTGCTCTCTGATTCCTGTGTGTGTGAGAGGAGAGGAGACTTCTCTCATAGAAGAGGCAATAATTGAGAAAGGCCTTAAAGACGTAGGAACAGGGCAGGCAGAAGAGGTAGGAAGAAAAACAGAAGAACAAACTGCCTGAACAGAGAAGGAATGGAGGTTGACCAGATGGCCCTGGAAACAAATGAGCTATGAGGGGATGGAGTCTGATGTCTGGGTGAAGCCGGAGGCCTGGGGCAGCACTGCTGGCTAGCAGGAATAATGAAGCAAGGCAAGGTGGATGGACTACTGTGGTTTCATCCTATAGGTAGTGGGAAGCTATAGAAGGATTTTGAGCAAAAGAAAGTTTCCTGGTTCAGAAGGTAGACTGGCTAAGAGGCCATGTAGGCCAGAGGCTGGGAGTCCAGTCTGGAGGTTCTTAGTAGTTTATACTAGAAGATAATAAGGTTGTGGACCAAGTAGTCATTCTGTGAATGATGTTAGGGAATAGATTTGAGGACTAGAGGAAGGTGGAGCTTTTCTTTCCATTATATATTTGAAGGCATGTGTTGGTTAAGGTTTTGACTTCGAAAAGAAATACCACACCTGAGTGTAACATGGTAATTTGGACAGCCCCACCTAGATGGTCCCTGAAGAACTAGACATATTCAGAGTTGAAGGGACCTGGCTTCATCTTTGCCCTTCCTGCTTCAGTGACGTTGGCAGTCTGCCTCCACTTACCTGAGCCTTCCCTACCTCTTCCCTTTCTCTACCCCGTGCCTTAGGGGTTAGGGCCACCTGCCTCCTCACTGTACCTCTGCCCATCCACCTGTGCATAGATCAGTGCTGGGGCTCCAGCTCTGAGCATCGTCTAACTTGTGTATACTCCAGATGCAGCCTTTTCATAGGCCTCCTTGGCCCACTCACCGTGCCTAAGACTTGTTCTTTATAGCTGTGAAGTTGCATGTGTGACCTCACCTTCTGTCTCAAAATTGATTGGTTGATGGCTCTCTGAGGCCCTCAGGGTCAGATCAGATTTCTCTTTTTGAGGCCTGCTGCCTAGTTCTCCTCCCCACATCTCCTCTCCTCTGACATCTTTCTAGGCAATGGGGACAAACTCAGGATTTCAGGGACCAACAGGATGCTGGCAGGGTGTGTGGTAAATGCCAAGCGTGAAGACACCCACATTCCAATTTGCAGCAGTGGTCCTCTGGTCTCGCGGGAGCTCTTCCTTCAAACAGAATGTTTTCCTCCCACGTGGTAATAGCTGTCTCCTCAAGGTGCAGTGCAGATGTCACTTCTCCTGAGTGTCTCCCCAGAGAGACCCAGCTCGGCCTGTACACGGTCCCCAAGCAGCAGGTGCTTACCTCTGTCACTGTGTATATTTTTTCTCCTTTCAGCAGTTCCTGAAGATTGATCCCAGGGCCTTTACACTGACCTACATCTCCATCCCTTTTCCACTTTAATTTTTGAGGAAAGGTCTAAGTCCTTAAATTGCCCAGGCTAGGTTTGAACTTACGATCTTCCAGCTTCAGCCTCTTGGGACTACAGGTTTATGCCACCATGCTCACCTGGTCACAGCACTTTTTGTCAACAATGATCTATCCCTAGTTTACTGGGGTTAGAGGAGCTCTTTTAAAAATTAATTATATTGGTACAGTATCACATTTATAGTAGGGAATTTGTACCTGTATATACTAGATCTTGATTCTTCTTTTTCCCTTGTTCTTCCCCTTCCTTCAATTCATCTTCTCTCTACTTGCAAAAGCTTTGTTTCCATTTTTTCTATTCTCTCTCTCTTTTTGTTCATAAGGGAAATCCTTTTTAAATTTCTTTTTTTTTTTTTTTTGCCTGTTTCTAGGGTCTAGAGAGTGTTGACAAATACTATTTGAATTATAGAAAAAAACTATACCAAAGGGAGGAATTTCAGGTGGATTGGATTGGTTTATTTTCTTTCCATATAAATGAATCATTAATTTTAATTGGGATTATGCCAAAATAACTCCCAGTTATGAAAACATTATGTAAGCTAATCCTGTCCACAGTGCCTTTTCCACAGATAATTGCTTATAAAATGCACATCCTAGTAAGGGCAGATATCTTGTAAAATTAAAGAACAAAGTTGTGTGGAGATTAAATACTAAATGCAGCCAGTCAAAGCTGGCACAATATATACAAGAATGCTCCATTTTTTAAAATTCATGGTAAGCAGTGATTCAACTTCCTTTGCTTCTATGAAGTTAAATGCTTCTAGCAGCTGTGATCTGAGATATAGCTGTGATTCCCACTTTCTCTGTGAGGTCTTGGGTTGTTGTAGATTCTCATGTGCAAAGTGGCTGGGTCCCACGTAAGAATGGAGTAAAGGGCCTCTTATGGCACTACATAAAAGGCATCAACTGTTATGTAAAACACCACTGATAGCAGCAAAGTCACTTACAGACACCACGAGAAATCAGGAATTCCGGAGGGAGAGCAGGGAGGGGGAAAAGGCGACAACCTGCAATATTTAAATGGCAATGGAATACCCATCTTTGACGAAACTAGACAAAAAAAGGTAATATAAATGAAGGACCACTTTGTATCTCTATATACAAAATAGTTAAGATAGATATACAACTACTTTCTCTTAATTCAATGAGAAGAAAGATTTGTACTAATAGTGTTTGGACGGGATACCATGTCTGCATCTTGTACTATGAAGAACCACTACGAAGATAACAGTATACAATGTATTAATTGTTGTAACTGTCCTATAGACCTGTTTTGAAACTGTCTCTTTGCTATTTGTTCCTCAATAAAATTAATTTTTTAAAAAAGGCAATAACCTGATGACCCACAGGTAAAGGCCACCTGTGGCCCTGAGATGTGATGCGGCCGGCAGTATTTATAATGACAGAGACTTATAAATCAGAGGTTGAATGGCATTTATACAGATGCCATTTGACAAAATTGGAAAATACACACTTACAGGTAATTTCTTCCTGACAACTGAAATCTAGATAGTTTTAGGCTTTAGGCTGATATGCTTAGACCCACCGGAAGTTATGCTTATTTAAACATTTAATTGCTTACAATGCCAGATGGATGAGAAGTTATTGTCGTGAGGAGAAAATATCAAAGAGCCCAAAGCAGGCAGTTATGAGACAGAGAGCTCATTGATTGACTTGCCAGTGAGCACTTGGTAAGCACCAGGCTGCGCCTGGGCACAGCCAGATAAGCCACAGCTTCCTCCTGGCGGTGGGAGGAAGTGACTTTAAGCTTGGAAAACTGTGGACTGTGGCTTCTTCCACAGCACCCTACCTTAACATGCTGTTCATTAACTTTGATGCGTTAGTCACCTCCTATCCCAGTACTGAAGGTAGGCCCCAGCACCTCATGCATGGTGAGTACGTGTGCTAATACTGAACTCTATCCCAAGCCTTTTTAATTTTATTCAGTTAATTTGAAACAAGGTCTCAGGGCTGGTCAAATAGTGCAAAGGATTAAAGTGCCTACAAGCAGGCGCAGGGGCGGGGAGTTCAGTCCTCGGGTCTGCCATGCCGGCCCCGTCCTTGGGGCGCGCTGAGATGGCGAATGAGACTGGTGGTGGCATGGTGGTGGGCGCTGGTAATCCTAGCTCTTGGGAGGTTGTAAACAGGAGAATCAGTACAAGTCTGATCTAGTAGTGAGACTTTGAATACCCTGTAGACCTTTCCCTAAAATACAAAAAAAAAAAAAACAAACAAAAAACAAAAAAACAAAAAACAAGGTCTCATTAAGTTGCCCAACCTGGGCTTGATCTTATTACAGTCCTCCTGCCTCAGCTTCCTGAGTGGCTGAGATTACAGATGTGTGCTGCTGTACAAGGCTACTTTTAAAGACTTTCAGAAAGTGTTTTCACTTAAAACTCACAATGTGCCCTTTCTGGGTATCTTCCTGGAAGAATTGAAAACATCAGACCACAGCAATCTGTGTGCACCCGTGTGTATAGCAGCACAGTCTGTGGTAGCTAAATCTTGGAAACAACCCAGATGCCTATTAACTGAGGAATGGATGAAGACATCAGTATCTATATCTATATCTTATCATATATATCTCATATCTTACTGTATATATCTTATATATATCTTACTTTATCATATATATTTTATCATATATGCCTTATACATCTTATATATATCTTATCATATATCTCATCATATGTATATCTTATCATGTATATCATATATATATATATATATATATATATATATATGTATTACTACTTGGCCCTAAAGAAGGATAAGTTTGAGGCATTTGTAGGCAAATGGATGCAACTTGAGTTCATACTCTCAAGTGAAATAAATAGGATTCACATGTGTAAACATCATATTATCTCCCTGGTATGAGGAACTCACAGAGTAAAAAAGGACCAAAACATACAGTCTTTAGTGTGAAATGGGAAGACATTGCTCAAAAGGAGAGAGCTAGGATGGAGGAAGAGGGGAAGAAAGGGAAAAGGAAAAGAAAATGATTTTAAAAGAAAGGATAAAATGGAAATACTGGGCTGGTGAGAGAGCTTGGCAGTCTAAGTAACTGCCTGGCAAATGCAAGGATATGGATTCAATCGCTGGTACTGCGTACTGCACTGGGCCCTGCACCGTGCCAGCCACTGAAACTGGGCATGCTGGATCATGCCTGTAATCCCAGCGCTGGGGAGGCTGAGACAGGAGGATCACTATGAATCCAAGCTGCATAGTGAGACCCTGTATCAAATCAATCAATCAATAAATCACGCAAGCAAGCAAGCAAGCAAGCAAGCAAATGCTTTGTAAATAGGGAGGAGAAGATGGGGTGAAGGGAGGAGAGAGGATTGGGAAAGAAAAAGAATCAAAATGTATCATGTATAGGTACAAATTTCTCTATGATGAATATGGTCATTATATATACATCTAAAATGTACCAATAAGCATAATTAGTAAAAAAAAAAACCACCCACAATATTATTCAAATTTTGTGAGTATGGAGAGTTTTGTTTTCTGTTTGTCTCTATGGCGCAAGAAGAGTTATGTGGTAATTGGTGAGTTTGAACCTTTGAGGCCAGTGTCTCATTAGTTACCAGACCTCCCACAGAAGGCACATGAACGGGCAGATGCCCAGCACCGTATCAGCCTGGAAGCTGCAGTGCCATGTGCCAAAGCAGAGATGCGGACATAATCAGGGTTGTTGCTGGATTTCCTATGGCAGGGTTGCGGAGAATGTATCATATTGTATTGAACACCAAAGTCACTGACCCGGAAGAGCATTTGGACAAGGAGCAGGGCAGGGAATGAAATGGTTGGGGTTTGTCACCAAAGCCGGGGCTCAGAGTCCAAGCTCCATGCTGGGCTAACAGCTGTGAAATTGGGAGAAAGAGGAAGAGCTCAAGAGATCCACTAACATTTTGTGTCTCATTTTTATTTTTGTTTAGTATCTTAAATTTCTGGATCAGCTTTCAGAAAAAATGAAGCTGGACCAGATGGCAGCTGAACTTGGCTTTGACATGCGTCTGGATATAGTTTTAGCTCGCACGGAACAGCTAGTCCGCCTCGAGAGCAACGCAGTCATCGAAAATAAGACTATCGCCCACAACTTACAGAGGAAGGTAGGTGTTGCTGAAATGTTGTAAAATTGAGAAAAGCAGTTGATCCCTACCATATTTATCAATGTGTCTAGAAAACACATTGAAAATATATATATTTACAATTTCTTTTGTTCTTTTTTTTTTCCTTTTTAAAAATTTGATGTATTTGGTACAGGGTCTCACTACACAGCTCAGACTCATAGTGATCCTCCTTTCTCAGCCTCTCCAGTGCTGGGATTACAGGTGGTCACTACCATACCCAGTCTTGGTGGCCAGCTCAGCACACCCAAGGAGGGGCCTTCATGTGGTACGGGGATGGAACCTGGCTCCTTACACTTGTCTAGGCAGGTGCTTACACTGCTGAGCCATCTCCGTGGCCTTCTTTCCTTTCTCTTCCTTTCTGTTCCATCCCATCCCATCCCATCCTGTCCTGTCCCCTCCCCTTCCCCTTCCTTCTTTCCTTCTTTCCTTCCTTCCTTCCTTCCTTCCTTCCTTCCTTCCTTCCTTCCTTCCTTCCTTCCTTCCTTCTTGTGCTGGGTATGGATCCCAGGGCTTTCATACAGAACTACATCTCTAGCCCTTTATATTCTGAGATAGGGTCTCACTAAGCTCTCCAGGCAAGACTCAATCTTGCAATCTCAGTGCCTCAGCCTCCCAGCACGCTGGGATTATAGGCATGCTCTGCCACACTTAGCCTTTTTTTAGAGTGAGAGTGTCCATTTCAAGTCTGAAGAGTTAGTAAGTGTATGTCTCACCTAAGGTTATTTTCACTATGTGTAATAGAGGCCCCAAATAACAGTGACTGAAAGAAATAAAAGTTTTTATTCTTCTGCATGCATTTTTGGAGAGGGGCAGCTCAGGGTTGGTACAGCAGCTCTGCTCTGTTTCAGGAATTAGCTTCAGTGCAGCTTACCTATTTCCCATTCCTGGAGTGGTCCTTAGCCTCCTGGCTCAACATGGTGCCTGGAACCATCACTGTATCTGTGTTCCATGCAGAGGGCTGGGGCAGAAGGGAGTGAAGAAGAGGGATTTGCAGAACCTGGAAGAGGTGTCTTTTGAAGAAAGTGCCCAGCATTTGTTATGTGACCTTGTATTTTTACCCCTAGATGGGGGATGTTCTGAACCTAGGGGCAAGGCAGACCTGCAGACCGAGCTTGGCCATGGCTCTGAGAGAAAAGGAGGAGCTGGTGGCCCTCTCTGCATTGGGGTGCTCTGTGGCACCAGCAAGTGGAGAGGGGGAAGCGCTTACTTTTCTTTCACTCAAAGAAAGAGTTAGAAACAGTTGAGACCATATGAATGAATAGATGAAAGGGAGATATTATGATTATTAGTTACATAATTATTGGTATTGGGGAAAGAAAAAGGAAAACACAGATGTGTTCTTATAATAGTTCTTAGGAGAAAGTTCTGTGAGTGACTTCTAGTGCCGAGTCTGTAAGTGTCGCATCTGGGTTCCTGCTCCAGCCCTCCCAAGCTGAGCCCCGGGAAATCACACACTGCTCCATTTCTCACACTAAGATGGTGATCAAACCTAACTTGATGCCTGCTAATTTGTAATCCACATTTCTGAACTCTTGGCTCATATAAGACCCCCAATTCACATTTGGCCTTTTCTTCTGTTTACTATGTCTGGAGGAATATTTTATGAAAGAAAGCAGACTACCTCCATCAGGGATGTTAAATTGAGCCATATATCTACATATATATTTTTTTTTCCAAAGTCCTCTCTAGATAATTGATTTTCTTTCTTAATACTTGCTGATACTATTCTTTTCTAAGAATAATTGGTTGTTAAAAGTACCCATGAATAGAGAACTTACCAGTGTAAATTGGCAATAGAATGAAATTAGCACAACAAAGAAGGTCAAGAGAAGGGTTGGTTAGAGAGATGTTAGGAGGAAGCAGAGTCTTGCTAGAGACTGCGGTGGGTGTGGACAAGGCTTGCATGAGCCAGGCAGGAACTCCATGCAGGCTCCCTGGAAATCCTCCCTGGGTTGACCTCTTCACAGATGCGCAGTAGGTAACGAGGGAGGAAACAAAGGCCTTCCACTCAGAGGTTCTGTATTTCTACTTGGTTCCCAGTACCAAGGCTTGTGAAAGGTGACAGAGTAACTCACTGATTGATACAGGTGGAGCCCAGGAAGACCTTTCCTTTCTTAGAACCCATTGTCCTGTCCTGTCCTGTCCTGTCCTGTCCTGTCCTGTCCTGTCCTGTCTTTTCCTTTCCTTTCCTTTCCTTTCCTTTCCTTTCCTTTCCTTTCCTTTCCTTTCCTTTCCTTTCCTTTCCTTTCCTTTCCTTTCCTTTCCTT